AATAGGAGTGGTGACAAAAAGCATCCTTGTCTGGTTCCTGTTCACAGAGGAAAGGCTTTCAGTTTTCCTCCATTGAGAGTAATGTAGGCTGTTGGTTTTGTAAACTAAAGATATTTTTAAAGATTCCTTTAACACTACCTTGTAAATAAATTGATGATCACAAAGTACTGGATATATAGTACTTACATTTTCAGTAATGTGAATGATGTTGTATACATTTAAAACATCATGGTAAATGGAGACAAGACAGAAGGGGTCAAAGACTTCATTTGCTTGGATTCACCATCTGTGATCATGGAAGCAGCAGTTAAGAAATCAGAGTGCTGCAAAAGACCTTTTAAAAGTGTTCAATACCCAAGATGTCACTTTGAGGACTAAGGCATGCCAGACACAAGACATAGTATTTTCAGTCATCTCATATACATGTGAAAATTGGCCATTGAATAAAGGAAGACCTAAGAAGAATTGATGTATTTTAATTGTGGCATTTGGCAAAGACTGTTGAAAGCACCATGGACTGCCAGAATAACAGACGAATCTGTGTTGGAAACAGTGCAGCTAGAGTACACCCTGTAAACAAGACTTGCCAGACTTTGTCTTGTATTATAGACATGTCGTCAGGAAGGGTTAATCCCTGGAGAAGGACATCATAGTTGGTAAAGTGGAGGGTTGGTGAAGAAGAAGTTGTTATTAACTGCCATTGAATCAGTTCTGACTCTGAGGGATCCTGCAGAATGTTTCCGAGGTGCGACTGGTGGATTTGAACCATTGACCTTGAAGTTCAAACCGACCAAGCACCCCAAAAAGATAAATAGACACAGTGGCAACAACAATGGGTTAAACATCATCAAGATTGTGAGGACGCCACTGGACGGGACACTGTTTCCTTGTCTTGTGCATAGGCTCACTATGAATGGGAAGTTGCTTAATCACACAGCACACTGCGTGTAGGCTGCTGGAGTCGAGAGAGCTAGTGATTCTCTCTTCCTGCTGTCAGCAGTAACAGACGGTGGGTGGGAGGGAGTCTGCCTTTCAGATTCCACCCTGGTCACCGGTAGGAGACTCTCTAGCGGTGACAGCACAGCCTTTGTTTCCTGCACGGTGGTCATGTACGTCAGCTCAGAGAGGGGCCATTTGGATGTCTTCAGCCCCTGTGGCAAAGGTTCATTTTCTGGATCCACCCAGTGTCCCGGGCCCAAGCACGTGGAAACGGACTGCAGGTTTTCTGTCTGGCCCCAGGCTGGCTGCCAGCTCGTAGGCCTGCCACCTCTCACCAGCCCGGGGCCTCTCGACCACATTGGGCAGAGCACATCTGGTCACTCAGTGTCATTTACCTGTCTCCTTTGCGGCTCAGCTCACACATCTGCCTGTGCCTCCGCCCAGCACTGGATGATGTCATGGCTGTTGCGTGGCAGGGTCTGTGTTGGGCAGTCTGTCCTGTACCCAAGGAACATGGGAGAGTGGCCATACAGCACTGTTACTTGGCAGTCAGGAAGGAAATGGGGCTGCTCTGTCCTTGGAAGCAAACTACAACTGTGAGGGCATGATAGCTGGCAGCTGGGACCCTTCCGTCTGTCTCCCATGGAGGGGGCTTCCTCTACAGCCAGCACTGGGCCTGTGAGGGACACCGGTGGACCACTGGATTTCACTGTGTGGCTGCACTTGGACTTCCTACAGACTTTTCTAGAACAGGCCTTCAGCTCCTGAGGCAGCTTCAGCTTGCTTCCATCTTGTCCTATGAAATAAACCACTTAGCTTCACAGGGCATTTACTCTGCTTCTTTCTTGTGCCTCAGCTTTGTCAGTATTCAGCTCCCTCGGGGAAATGTCAGTGGGGTGGGCAGCATTTGCTGTTAAGCTCCTTGGTCCTTTTCAGGGCGCATTCAGAGGGACACATGGAACTCATCGTGAGGTGGGAAGCTCAGCGTACTGAGTGCCTCCTGTCATAGCGGCCTGGAACTCGGAACATGGGTGCTACTTGTGGCGTAAGGGCTCCCTTTGTCATAGTGAGTTCTGTGCCAGTCAGCTTTCAGCTGGTCAGAGACATGGCAGGGCCTTTGAACTCAGACTTCGGAAAGCCTGTGCAAGGACTCTTTTGTTCATGCATGTGGGCTTGCATCCACTCAGCCACCCCCTCACCCATCCATCCATCTGTCTACCCAGCCACCCCTCTCTCCATCCATCCACCTCTTGATCCATCTACTGAACCATCATTCATCCCTTGCCTCCCTCACAGTCTTCTTCCATGCATTCATCTTTTCACCCACATAGACATGTCTCCCTCCCTCCCTTCATCTCTCCTTTCTATTCTCCTTCACCTACCCACCCATTCACTCACCAACTTGTCTAGCACCCACCCATCCATCTACTGAACTATCATTTATCTTCCTTCCATCCTTCTCTCCTCTCCCTTCATCTATCTATCCATCATCTGTGTATCCATTCATTCCTTTGCCCACCCATCCCTCCCTCCCTCTTCCCTTTTCTCCTTCCTGTGTCCACCCACCCATCTACCAGTCCATCCATCCACCCATCTATCCATCCAACCATCCGCCCATCTATCCTTCTAACCATCCGCCCATCTATCCATCCAACCACCCACCCGTCTATTCTTTGTGTTGGAGTTCTTCTCTGACCTCCTTTTCTGTACTCAACCTGCACTCAAATCCCTCATTTCTCAGGACAGTTCTTTCATGGCTCCCCCATATGTAATGACCCTTTGTTGCCATTTCTGGCTTCTGTTTCCTAAGCTCCGTTTGTGATTCTGCTTTGCTGTTTTCATGGCTGTTGTCTCAGTTGTGGCCAATGGAGCTTTGCCGTTCCAGCGCTCTCTGGTGCCACTGTGATGGTGTGGGTGTCTGTGTCCCCTTCCCTGCTCACCCTGAGATCACCGTCTCAGGACGTGTGCTTCTCCTCTGGCTCTGGAGCTCAGCTCTACCACGTGGCCTGGCTGAGCCACAGTTGCTCCATGGCTGAGGCTAGACGTCCAGTGTGTGAGCAGCGCAGCCAGCCAGAAGAATCTTCATTTGTTGTCCTGCTGCATTGGTGTGTAGTCATTGAAAACAATCTTAAATCTTTTCAGGAGACATTGAAAATGGCTATGTGAAGCTCATTGTGATAAACTTTGAAAACAACACCGAGCACGTACCTCTTATTGGAAAAGTTGGCCTCTCTTGGAGAACTAACGTTTTTGAGGGCTGTATCAAGGTAATTTGTGGTTTTCTTTGCTTACAATAACCTAGTTCCTGGATAATAATGATGATGATGATGATGATAATAAAGGATGTATTTTTTATCCTGGTTCCTCACGGTTGGCCCACATTCTCTCAGACACGGACATTTCATTCATTCTTCAAAGATTCCGGAACGCCCTTTGCTTTGAGTTGAGTTGGAGCCATTGGCATGCAGGGATGTCTGGATGTGTGTGCAGCCAGGCTAGTGGACAGCGACGATTGCTTCCTTGACTTCGCAGAGCCACTGTGGGTCTGTCTCTGTCTGTCTGTCTGTTTTGTGGTGAGAGAGTGGAGTTGTAGGTTGGACCTGGTAAGTAGTACTTCCTTCCACAGACACATCTAGTCACTCATGCCAGCTGAAGATTTGTTATAGTTTAAATCTCTCACTCTAGGACAATGGTTCCAGGTAAGCCAGCGTATACCTTTGTCAGCAATTGGCTGTGTGCATGGAAGAGGTCAGGTGGTGGTTGGGACTGGCAGGGAAGGAGGGAGAAGGAGAAGAAGAGGCAACGCAGCAGGCTTTGAGGTCCTCCGTGGTCCTCCGCACGAGGCTCCAGGGTTCTCCTTCCTCTCACCTTTGTTTTGAGGGATGAGTAAGAGAGAGTCCAGGGTGTCAAAAGTCACTGGGTGGACTGGATCAAGGAAAGGAGAGGTCATTGGGTGGACAGGGTGTCTAATCGCTCCTTCAGAGTCCTCAGGATGCTGAAGTCACCCAGAGGAATGGTGTGGCTTGGGACTGAGCTCACAAATAGAAGAGTGAGAAACACAGACCGGGTCTGGAGACAGACTGGGAGCCTAATGCCAGAGCCCAGGAGAGAGGGAGGGAGCAGGATGTGGGTCTATGTCCGAGACAAGATGGGGCTAGGTTGCGAGGGCAAAAAGTTTGAACCTCAAAGAAACGGGTGTTTCGGAGTGAAAGCATGACTGTGGAGAAGGTGGTGAGGGACTTGGGATGTGTCCGTCCCACTCTAGAGTCTCCGAAGACCTTGTCGTCTCAGAAGCGCTGATCTACTAGTAGGATGGCTTGGCTAATATCTGGTACTCAAGATGGAAGCCGACAGTCCAGTGAGCACCAGTGTGCATCTGGGTGGGCATGGGCGTTGTGTGAGGAGACACTCTGCACTCTAGTTACAATCTAGAATGTTCTGTGTATGTCTGGTTGGGTGTGGACGTTGTGTGAGTAGACGCTCTGCACTCTAGTTACAATCTAGAACGTTCTGTGTGTGTCTGGGTGGGTGTAGATATTGTGTGAGGAGAGACTCTGCGCTCTAGTTACAATCTAGAATGTTCTGTGTGCATCTGGGTGGGCGTGGACATTGTGTGAGGAGAGACTCTGCACTCTAGAACGTCCTGTGTACATCTGGGTGAGTGTGGACGTTGTGTGAGGAGACACTCTGCACTCTAGTTACAGTCTTGAACGTTCTGTGTTTGTCTGGGTGGGCGTGGACATTGTGTGAGGAGAGACTCTGCACTCTAGTTACAGTCTAGAACGTTCTGTGTG